CTCCCCTGTCCTTCATGTACCTAACATTGAAGCTTCATATCAAATGAGACAACAAACAAACTCACCTGACTGTCAGGAGGAGAGAGGAGGATGTTAGTTACATACAGGTGTCCTCCAGTATGTTATGACATCACAAAATAGCAGGAGAATAGTCTGTTTCAATTGGTCCTTCAGCCGGAGGTCAGGTGTAACTAGGTCTCTCTTTGTCTCCCAGTGGTCCACAAGATGAACGGTGAAGATGGCGTCCAACTGCTCAGCTTCTCCGAGGTCGAAGAGCTCATCCACAAAGCCGACGAGGCCTCGATGATGTCACAGACCGTCGCCACGGTGACCTCTCTCCCCACAGCGGAGGTCCAGGAGGAGGCGGGTCCTGAGCCGCCGCCTCCGGAGATCACCGGGCTGGAGGCCAAAACAGGCAGCGAGCCGATCATGGGCGAGGCCAGCGCAGAGAACCCCGTCACCATGGTGTTCATGGGCTATCAGAGCGTGGAGGACGAGGACGAGACCAAGAAGGTTCTGGGTCTGCAGGGGACGGTGAAGGCCGAGCTGGTCCTCATCGACGACACTGATGGGAAAACGTCTCCGGGCGAAGGGAAGAAGGACACCGGCGTTCCTCTGCCCGCCTCCACTGCCCTGCCGCCCTCAACAAAACCTCCGCAGACGATGACGGCAAACAACGGGGAGACTGCTGGGGAGGTGAAGGAGGAGAAGGGAGGAGCGGTGGAGATGAAGAAGGAGAAGCAGCCGTGTAAGTGCTGCAGCATCATGTGATCCTGCAGGGGGCGCCGCTCTGAAACCTAATATAATAATATAAAAGTAAAGGACGGAGACTTTCCAGGACTACAGGAACTTAACCCCACCCACTGCCCTTAGCCCCGCCTCTAACATCACATCATTTCCTCTTTCTTCATCCTCCTGTTTTTTAAAACCTTTCTTTACTTTTTTCTATTTTTACTTTTGTACTCCTCGTGTTTCCACTTGTGCCGCCTCCATCCATTTGATTAGCTTTAGCATTAGCGGTAGCATTAGCATTAGCATTAGCCATGCAGTCTTGAGATGTCATTAATCTCGCCCTTGTTACAAACATGAAACACTGAATTCTGTATTTATTTGACAACTTCCTGTTTGTCTTTTCAGCTTTTTTTTCTAAAAGACAATAAAATTGACCTGACGGGTCGACTCACTACAAAAGGAACTGATTCTGTGTTTGTGTTTGCAGACTCCTTCACCTCCTCCACCTCCTTCACCTCCACCACATCACATGACATACTTTTGCTTCTTGATTGAGAGCCAACTCAACATGATTGTGCAGTAAGACAGGCAGAGAGACAGAAACTTGCATCCAGTTTCATCTGTTCATTAAACATGTGGCCATGTGGTCATTGTGGTCATTGTGGTCCATGTGGTCTTTGTGGTCCATGTGGTCCATGTGGCCATGTGGTCATTGTGGTCCATGTGGCCATTGTGGTCATTGTGGTCCTTGTGGTCATGTGGTCATTGTGGTCCATGTGGTCTTTGTGGTCCATGTGGCCATGTGGTCATTGTGGGCTATTGTGGTCATTGTGGTCCATGTGGCCATTGTGGCCATGTGGTCATTGTGGTCCATGTGGTCTTTGTGGTCACTGTGGTCCATGTGGTCATTGTGGCCATGTGGTCATTGGTGGCCATTGTGGCCATGTGGTCATTGTGGTCCATGTGGTCTTTGTGGTCCATGTGGCCATGTGGCCATTGTGGTCCATGTGGTCATTGTGGTCCTTGTGGTCCATGTGGCCATGTGGTCATTGTGGTCCATGTGGTCATTGTGGTCCATGTGGTCATTGTGGTCCATGTGGCCATGTGGTCATTGTGGTCCATGTGGCCATGTGGTCATTGTGGTCCATGTGGTCATTGTGGTCCATGTGGTCATTGTGGTCCTTGTGGTCCTTGTGGTCCATGTGGTCCATGTGGTCATTGTGGTCCATGTGGTCATTGTGGTCATTGTGGTCCATGTGGCCATGTGGTCATGGTGGTCCATGTGGCCATGGTGGTCCATGTGGCCATGTGGTCATTGTGGGCCATGTGGTCATTGTGGTCCATGTGGTCATTGTGGTCCATGTGGCCATGTGGTCATTGTGGTCCATGTGGCCATGTGGTCATTGTGGTCCATGTGGTCATTGTGGTCCTTGTGGTCCTTGTGGTCATTGTGGTCCATGTGGTCATTGTGGTCCTTGTGGTCCATGTGGTCATTGTGGTCCATGTGGTCATTGTGGTCCATGTGGTCATTGTGGTCCTTGTGGTCCATGTGGTCATTGTGGTCATTGTGGTCCATGTGGTCCATGTGGCCATTGTGGTCATTGTGGTCCATGTGGTCTTTGTGGTCCATGTGGTCCATGTGGCCATTGTGGTCCATGTGGCCATTGTGGTCCATGTGGCCATTGTGGTCCATGTGGTCTTTGTGGTCCATGTGGCCATGTGGCCATTGTGGTCATTGTGGTCCATTGTGGTCATTGTGGTCCATGTGGCCATGTGGTCATTGTGGTCCTTGTGGTCCATGTGGCCATGTGGTCATTGTGGTCCATGTGGTCATTGTGGTCCATGTGGCCATGTGGTCATTGTGGTCCATGTGGTCATTGTGGTCCATGTGGCCATGTGGTCATTGTGGTCCTTGTGGTCCATGTGGTCATTGTGGTCCTTGTGGTCCATGTGGTCCATGTGGTCCATGTGGTCATTGTGGTCCATGTGGTCCATGTGGTCCATGTGGTCATTGTGGTCATTGTGGTCCATGTGGTCCATGTGGTCCATGTGGTCATTGTGGTCCATGTGGCCATGTGGTCATTGTGGTCCATGTGGTCATTGTGGTCCATGTGGTCATTGTGGTCCATGTGGTCATTGTGGGCCATGTGGCCATGTGGTCATTGTGGGCCATGTGGTCATTGTGGGCCATGTGGTCATTGTGGTCCATGTGGTCCTTGTGGTCCATGTGGTCCTTGTGGTCCATGTGGTCCTTGTGGTCATTGTGGTCCATGTGGTCATTGTGGTCCTTGTGGTCCATGTGGCCATGTGGTCATTGTGGTCCATGTGGTCATTGTGGTCCATGTGGTCATTGTGGTCCATGTGGTCATTGTGGTCCATGTGGTCATTGTGGTCATGTTAAGAAGCTATCATCACTCTTTCTTTTTCCTCGCTTTACCTTCCCAGTTTAAAAGTTGTTTGAATCGATGGAGCTGAATCGGCGAGACGTCCTCACTGACGGACACGCGTCAGGATCAAACGGCTGCATGTCTCCATCAACAGATCTGATGGATGCCACGATGACAACACAACAAAGATGGCCGACTGAAAGACACCAGTGAGGACGAGAAGAGACACATCAGTTTGTCCTCGTTTGTGTCAAAGAAGCACTGGAACATTTTGTCCTGAACTCAAAAGTTTGTCCTCTGAGAGGCGAATTCCAAGTCACCTGACCGGACGGACCGTGGCGTCCTGAGGCGTCCTGAGGCGTCCTGAGGCTTCTGGCACGATGAGATTATGAGCAGCATCTAAAAATTCACAAAGCCTTAATCAATACATCCAGAGCGCCGTGTGCAGCTGCTGTGTCGTTTAGCAACAGATCTGCTCTCAGCTCAGGCCCACACCTGCGGGTCAGAGGTCAGCGTGGGCTCGCAGGTGTGTGTTCACCTGTATGACATCACTGTGTTTAAGTTTTATGTTCTGAAACTGGTTGCACTGCAAGGCTCAGAGACCTGGACCCGGTCCAGCCCAGGCCTGGACCGCACATCAGAGACCTGGACCCAGTCCAGGTCTCTGATGTGCATCTTGTTGTCGTTATTTGATGCAAACTGCAGCTTCGCTCAGGGGACCGAATGTTTTTGTTTCGGGGACGGATTTGGACCCCCCTGCTGTGGGTTTACCTGATGTCACACAAACTGACCCAAAGTATTCAACCGTCTGAACATCATGAGAGCTCGCTGCATCAACAATAAAGCAAAAGTCTTCAAAAAGAAATATGGTCCATATTATTATTTTAGTGGTTGTTGTTTTACAACGTCACATCTGCATCGTTGTGCATTGTGGGTCATTTCAGAGCAGTCTAGTCTGCAGCCCAAGCGGACTCTGGAGGACTGGAACAATTGTAGCTTTGGACCCTGATCAAATACTGACTGTGTGTGTGTTTCTGCTGGTCAGCAACATTCCTGACAAATTCTACTGCTCAGCAACACACACTCGGTCTCTGTGGATCAGTCCTCCATCAGCTGGTGGAGCAGAGCCTGCAGGGTGAGTCCAGTTCTGTTTATTCTGTTGGTTCTTACCTGTGTGACATCATGACATCACCTACCTGGTCTCTGATCAGCTGGTGGATGAATTTATTGATCAGGTTGTTCAAACATGTTGTCTCCACCATGCAGACAACATGACTGGACGAAGCTGGCACTCCTGCTGTGATTGACAGCTCTGTTGATAGAGACGCCAAAAGTGAACAACTAAACGGCGTTGGTGTGTTTACATCACTGATTACTTTTCATCTGTGACTCTGATTAGACAGAGTTAAAATATTTATTTTCTTAAAGTGAAGTAAACGTTTTCTTGGGATAAAATAATATCAAGAAACTCAATTTATTATATACAGTATATACAGTATATATTATTTATACATCTCAGTAAATATATATACACATATATATGTATGTATGTATATATTGTGGGTGTATATATATATATATGTATGTGTGTGTGTGTGTGTGTATATATATAACCAGGGCAACCTGATGACAAATGGTCTACTGGAACAAGACATTCATGGACTAGAGCAGAAAACATGGATCTGATGCAATGCTACTATACAAGCAATCCCAGTGAGAGGGGTTATATGCAGAGACTATGGGATATATGGATGCTTCGAAACCCATCATCAACACTTCCAGCTCAGTGTTCTAACATACGGCAAACAGCAGCACCCAACCACAACTAGAGACTGATGAGGTACAACAAATATGCTACGGCAAGGGGGAGCCAGGACGACAGGTCAGCAGGGAGATGTTATCATCATCCCCACACTCAGAGATTGGGCCCCAAGCCCCGATAACAACAAGCCTTTATGGTACAGAATCACTCAACACAAGGGCGACTGACTTATGATTGAAGATCATAACCAAGCTGGACCCCCAAGTACAATGACCAAGATTGCCAAGGCTAAGTGACATAGTACCCTCTGAAAGTCTGCTAGAAGATGTGACACAGCACTACATACTATCCCTACTAAAGCCATAACCGAGACCAATGAGCTGATGTACGCCATTTTCTGCTGTAGTCCATGAATGTCTTGTTCCAGTAGCCCATTTGTCATCAGGTTGCCCTGGATATATGTGTGTATATATGTATGTATACGTGTGTGTGTGTGTGTGTGTGTGTATATATATATGTGTATATATATGTATATATGTGTGTGTATATAAATACTATACATAAATACTGTATATATACTGAGACATTCATGAAGATCTCAGCTATTCTCTTGGTCTCTCTCAGGGTTAATGGTGATTGGTTCCTGCTGGCTGAGGGTCTGACTGACATCCTCATCATCGTCATCATCATCATCGTCATCATACAGACCAAAACCAGTAGGAACCATTCATATCAAGTTGAAACCAGGATGTTCAGGTACACTCCTCCGTGGCAGGTTCTCTGTCACAGTCTGGATCACGACATCAAGGTGAGACTTTTTCAACAACAACAACAACAATAAATACACAAATTTTTCGATGAAACATGTAAGTGTGACTTTTTGGGCCGGCTGTGGCTCAGGAGCTAGAGCAGGTGGCCCAATAATTGTCAGACAGGCGGTTCGATCCCGGCTCCTCCAGTCTGCATGTAGCTGTGTCCTTGAGCAAGACGCTGACGGTGCCATCAGTGTGTGAAGCACTCTGAACGGGCGGGACACCAGTTTACTGTTTGGTTTCATCAATCCTCTGATCCAATGAAGAAATATCCCAAACTGAATTTCTAAGGGTTAAAACAACTGAAGGGAATCCTGAAAAACCTCTCAGGTTATCAACCACCCAATCCCAGCCTGAACCCTGAAGACTAAACCCTGAAACCCAGAGATGCTCACAAGTCCAAGTCAAGTCTCTTGTGGTAACGTTAACGTGACTGCAGCCAGCGGAACGTAAATAATTATGTTAATCAACCACCGCAACTAAACAAACGCTCAT